TGTAGGGCTGGGCGATATGGTATATTGACGATGTCTCGCAAGTATCGCGATGTCGATTATAACAGTCTGTTACAGACGATAATCGCCAATGTCAAAAAAATACATATTTCACATAGCCCTATAGTTATACACATATTTATTCACATGCAATAACATGAATGAAATAGTTTTACAGACTAGTTAGTAGGACTAGGAATAGAAAATCGATTCATCTTGATAGCATTCTTTAAGTGTATAGTGTATATAAGTGTATAAGTGCATATTGCACAGACAAAATATTTTAATATTACTGGATTTTGTTATGACACTTTCAACTTTATAATGGTTACAAATGGCTTATTTAAGAACGTGGAGAAAACGTAAAGCAGACATCAATGAACTTCTCCAGTCTGACGATAACAATTGACAACGCAGTGATGACAAATGACAGAGATGAAACAATCAATGATGATGGTGGATGCAATACTGATGAACACAGCACCAGTGTTACCACTGATGGTTCAGACTTTGACACAGACACCGGAATGTGTGACTTTGATGTGGAAATATTGAATCCCAAACCAGAGGACGAAGTTATAAACCTAGGCGATGACTTGCAAAAGTGAAGTACTATGACACCAAATTACTAATAGGTCCCTAATTGAATTATTGCAGATTCTAAGGGATCATGGACATGTACTCCCCAAAGATGCACACACATTACTAGCCACTCCTCAAGTCATTGACAGCCATTGAAAATGCAATGGGCAGTATATATACTATGGCTTGGAGGGGGGCATTACCCATGTACTGTGTCAAAATTATGTGCTATTAGAATACTTGTTTTAAACTAAAACTAAGAGAGTGTGCTTTCAGTCTACTTTCAATATACTTTTCAGATACTTAACAAAATTATACTTAAGTATACTTGGCTTATACTGACAAGTATACAGAAAAGTCTAGTACTTAATCATTTGATCAAGATATACTAAAGAAAAGTAATTCTTTCTGAATACTGAAAGTTTAAGTGTACTTGGCTTGTACTTGTGTTTAATCTTTTAATCTAATTAAATAATTTTCACATGCAAGTTCACATGCAAGTTAACATCAAGTCTGCATGCTTAAAGTACAGTTAATAGTTTATTTCAAGCATAAATACTATAAGCTAATTGGAAACTTATGCACATGGAATTTTCACTTTATTTCCTTATTTGGAGGACCAATCTTCTTAGAATGGGTAAGCAATTATTTCAAATTACATATTGATGCAAAATGTATTTATCAGATTAACTTTTGGTTGATATTTGGAGCTTTAATGTTTAAATGTATTTAATATTTATTTATTGTAATGTAAATGTATTTAATGTTGTAATGCTTTAATGTTTAAATGTATTGCTAGGAGCATTTCTATGATGCACCAAGTGACTAAGGGTACCAGGCTTGGTGTTTAAAGACTGTACAGACCTGTACAGAACCTGGTGATGGAAAGATAACAGGTAAGTTAACATATAAGAGAATCATGGGCACAAACAAAAAATAATCATAGCTTGGTTGCTATTTGGTATAGCTAGATTTTCTTTGTTCCATAACACTCATTTTGAATTTGTACAAAAGTACACATTTTTACATTTGTACTTTACAAAATCAAAAATATATATATACTTAAAATAAGATTTCGAACCAATGGTTTTCATGATTTGACAAGTAGATGTTTTCTTGCTGTTTAATTTTAGACTCAACTGATTGGAAAATCTCTGCCCATCACCTGCTCCCAACATTACAAAGCCACAAGATGGGAAGACCGATCCTTCCGGAATCCGGCGGCTGACAATTTGGTGAGATTTCTTAAGGTGCGTGTCTTTATTTTTTCTTAAAGTGTTAGTTCACTACGGTGGCCCAGTAGTGCACAACACAACGAAATTCAAAAAGCAAACATAAGTTCACAACACAACGGAAACAAGCCACAACACCACGAAATATCCACAACACAACGAAATAGCCACAACACAACGAAAATGCTCCCGACCACCAGGGGGCAGTGCCGGCACTGAAAATAGATTTCCTCAAGCGTCGAATCAGGACCTGATCGGGACACACGTCTGTGTAAGTTATCTTAATATGTCTATTTGATTTTTAAATTAACATATACTTTATCAGAACGTTTTAATATCCTGATAATCTTAAAGTATAGATTCATGAACTGAGTATATAACGTTACTAGATAAACTCATTTTGAGGTAACTTTTTAGCTCTGCTTTTGTGTCATGAACATCCGATTAACGTTAGCTGAAATGTTATCATTTCTACTATTGTCCTTCTAGGCTGGGATGTTTTATCCATTTTGTGGAAACGATCTGAGAATTATTACAGCCTTTTGCAGCTCGTGTGGCTCTAATCTCCAGTTTTTGTCAAACGAAGTTGAACGTTGTATGTAAGTTATGCGTTTAGTCTGCCTTAAAACCTTAAGTTACTGTTATTTGAGCACAACTGAATTCTGAGTCAGATGTTTCTACCAAGTTAAAGTTGTTACTTAATAATACCCTTATTATTATTATATTTGTTTATGGTTAGAGTCATCAGTCCCTGTTTGTGAGGATGATCTTCTTCGAAAGTACTTCAGAGATGGACACACTTACAGTGTCATATTGGATTTCTTGGAATTGAAGCACAACATTAAAATGAGCCTTCGTACCCTGAAAAAAAATTGAACAGACTGTCTTTGTACAAACAAAGAAACTACTTGCCTTTGGACACTGTCCGGACAGCTATTGTTGGCGAGTTGAATGGTTCTGGACAGCATTATGGTTACCGCACAATGTGCCAGACCCTTCGTCAAAAACACAATCTTACAGTGAGAAGGCAAGATGTTATGCTTAAGCTAAAAGACCTTGATCCATTAGGCATTGAACAACGCTCAAGAAGAAGATTTGTGAGAAGGGTTTATCATTCTTTGGGGCCAAATCATGCCTGGCACATTGATGGCTATGACAAATTAAAACCATATGGTTTAGCTATAAGTGGCTGCATTGATGGTTACTCACGCAAAGTCTTCTTCGCACAGACTGCGGCACTGAAAATGGAACTATGGCTGCAATCCACGGTTCTCTGAGATCAGTCCACACAGATGACCTTGCTGGGGCTTCAAGCCAAATGTATGGCTCATCAACCACAAACAAACGAATTGAAAGCTGGTGGTCATACTTCAGAAAACAAAGGTATAACAGTCATGATATTTAGGGGTTTTATTTAATATATTTTCTTGCTAAATTTTAGTTTAAATTTAATGTGCAGTTACACGTTAGGAAAAAGCCTATAAAATTAATGCCCAGCTTCACAGACGAGGCTTGTCCTAGACTAAAATGCAAGTTTTAGCCATTTTAAATAAGAGCCACTTTCACTGACGAATCTTAAAAAATTGTTAGTGCCATTGTTGTCTCAAAATGCACACCAGTCATTTTTTTTTCTCTGGGACATGTTTATAAAAGCTACTTAAATGCCTTAAGTGTACTATAGCCTGTATTAATAGCGCTGTATTTTTATTTTTCACACAAAACTTTTTCCTCTTTTACTTAAAGGTTTAATGGGAGAGAATGTGGATTTCGTGTCTCAGAGGAAGACTTGAACCAGTTTTTCATTGAACCTACTCTCAGTACATGTGGAGATGAACAGCTTCAGGCAAACTTTGAAGAACTGTGCACTCGAAGCAATCTGACTACACCTCACACCTGGGAGACTGCTGTGGAGAACTATATAACTTTGAAAAACATGGCCCACATTTAAAGGGTTAGTTCACCCATAAATGAAAATTCTGTCAGTAATTACTCATCACCATCATGTTGTTCCAACCCCATACGACCTTTGTTCATCTTCGTAACACAAATTAAGATATTTTTGATTAATCTTACAGGGTTGGAACAACATGTGGGAGAGTAATTACTGACAGAATTTTAATTTTTTTGTGAACTATCCCTTTAACATTTTACATTGTTATACTCTACTGCAATCCAAAACCAGGTGAGTTTTGGATACCAAAGTCCATTGCATTTTTGAAGTCTTCATAGCTTTTAGACATTGGCAATTTGATTGTATTGGCACATGTGCTTAGCCTGGCATGCCAGACCTACATCAAGATGTTAGGTCTGGAAACTCTTCATTGACAGGGCTCAATCCGAGGGGCGGGATAAACGGTTGTCTTTCAAATTCTCTCTGCACGCAATTGGATAGCGCTAAAGCCAATCAGAGCAACAAAGACGGTGACATACTCAGCGGAGCAAGTTGATGTATTAAACTTTTACCGCATCCAGTCCAGCTGTCAACATTGAACATTGAAAATAAGGGAGATTTCCCGGAATCCATCCCCAAAATTAAGGATTTTTTTTGTTTTTTACACGACCCACAAACTTAAAAAATAAAACACTAATCATTAAAAGTCAAAAGAGTTTATAACTAGCCTACATATGTGTGAGAGAGAAAGAGACAGTATGTGTGTGTGTGTGTGTGTGTGTGTGTGTGTGTGTGTTTTTGTGTGTATGAGAGAGAAAGAGACAGTGTGTCATTAAAAAAATAATATCATAGAGAATGTTTAAATATTAATATCAGCTTACAAGGGAAACGGAGCCGGTGTAGTGGTGCTTCGGGGTGCTGAAGATGATTCGGGAGAGGTCTGTGCACCTTACCGATCTTAGTGCGCACTGACACAGAGTAAAGCCTTATCCTCGACGCCACAGCACGAGTGGGCAAAAATGACAAGTTGATCGTTTCGCCACAGCTTTTTTGTAACAGCGCGCGCGGCGCCGGCCGCATCCGAGGATGAACGACTTCAAACCGAATATGTCCGAGCTTGCTCTGACCGTCGCAACCCTGTCGTCATTATGTTAAGCCCGCCCTCCGACTCTCTACACGATGTGATTGGCCCTACCAGAGTTGGGGTTTTCCAGCTCAAACGTCTATGGAGAGTTGCTAGACCACACTTTGCTGCAAAATAATTTTTGCTGCCGCTAGGGTGCGTCTAGATTTCTAGGCTAACATGTGCTGGCAATGGGAAATTTAGAAGTGCTCTCAAAAGTCAGTAGGGGCTGAGGCTGAATTGTTGAAGGAGGCAGTGAATCCAGTCCTGTAGCAGACATCAGGATGTCCTGGAGGGAGATTGCGGTTTCTTGTTCTGAAAAAAAAAGTAAAAGAAAAATAAAAACCCACAATGGAATATGATGAAATATGTACAAAACAACAATAAAATGTGTTTATATATCCTTTACCTCCAGTGTCTAGCAGATAGTCTCTCCAGTATCCTAAAATCCTTGTTTCTTCTTGTCGTCTGGTGCAACCAACTTCACTGAGCTGAGCCTTGAAGACAGCCTCCAGTGATTCAGATGTTAGTTTCTCAACACTGTAGCACATGTAGGGTCTGAATACACTTGGGTGTTGTTCCAGGGCATGGATGACATCCAGGGTGGAAAGACTGTCGCTAAATCTGGAAGCAAAACAAAGTACTGATAATAATGATGATTTAAATAATGATAATATGCTCTCAAATTAGGAACCAACTTACTTTTGTATTGAGTATTGATTTCTGTAAATTATGTACCACTGTATGAAATCCTTTACAATGTTTTCTTTGCCTTCTACACTTTGTGGGTTATGAAAACATCCAGCAGTCTGCAGCAAGCTGGCATACTTATCCACGAGCATGTGTAATTCATCCAATGATGCTGCACTAGATATCTGGTAAATAGGATAAATTAAAAAGGAGCAATTTAATTCGAATAAATTTTTCTTACAGCAAATACCATAACAAAATTGTAACTGTTAATCCATAAACCATTATTACAGACACAAAAATCTTAAAATGAGCTTAAAAATTGAATCCACCTCAACTAAAGCTGCCTTCATGATCTCATCTGTTATATCTTCAACTGTTCCATTAATGGCCGTCCTTCCAGTGAGGTGATCGTATAGCATATCTGAGAGGAAGCGAGGACCTGGACCACCGTGAACAATAGAAACCGCAATCATCTGCCCCGCAAGGAAGTATTCATCTTCTCTGGCAGCTATAGTAAATTGTTTTGTCCAGTTAGTATAAAACAAGACAATTATGAATAGGGCAGATGAAAAGTAGTAAACAATTTACCTGCACTGTTAAAGGTGAGAAATCTCCTATTTTCTGGACCATCAAAGATTCTTCGTGTCCTTAAACAGTCCATTAGGAGGGTTAGAAACTCACGTTTGGGACCACCTGTGTCCACTGCATCTTCAGTTGTGCCTTCGTCATCCGTGAATTTAACAAGCATGTCGTGTAATGGGTTGTATGATGCACGTCTGAATCCACGAACTGCTCCATCCCAAACATTGGCTCTATTTATGTTGAATCTGCTGCAACATGTTTTTATTATCTTCAATGCGAGATCTGACACAATGTCTGCAGAAGTTAATACATCCGTTCTGTAATAAATAGAGTTTTTGATAGTTACAGTTTTTTTCGATTGCTTAAGCACAATTTTGAAAACAGGGCCCGGTTTGTCAAAACACTACAAACAATTAACACAACCCTACACCAAAGTAGCACAACACTTCAGATCATTTGCAAAATGGAACACTTTTATCAAAACTATTCAACGTCTTATAAAAACCTTATTTTGCTGTCATAACATGAACACAACCATCATATGGTTTGACTCTGTTTGGTTTGACTCAGTTAAACACTCCTATGCTCAACCTAAAACACTTTTAGCATTTACAGAGAAAGTGAAAAAAATAAATTCACCAACACCACATGGCACACATTTTGCAGACTAATGAAAATATTTATTTCTTTTCATGTACTCAAGTCAGTCAATACTGAACATTTCAAAAAAAAAAAAAACATTTTCCAGTTTACATACAGTATTACTGAACGTAGCATTGTACTATAAGCTTACAGTACATACTGTAATACTGTAACAGATTACATATCCAGTTCAGTACTAAACATTTCTCCGCCAAGCTGGTTCTGGCCACAGGGCCTCGTAAACATCATATATTATGCTATATTTTCATTTGCAAGGCAACATGGGAGGAATCTTTTTGAGTGACGAATCCATGGATGCTGCTTCAATTTGATCACATGCTTCCTTCATAGCTTGAATGAGGGGCATCTGGACATAGGGCCAGAGATCATAAACCTTCCACCGCCATGTTGAGAAGAACTCAACATAGTCCCTTACTGTAAGAAGAAGGGAGTATGGTGGAAAATACTGAACTGTAAATTTTGCGTATTGATGAAATGTGGAACTCATGCAGGACTTCCTCCGCATCCATTTGCAAAACTCTCTGAAATACAGCAAAAGATCACATTGTGTAGATCAATATACTGTAGGTCTGTATATAGTAAAAAATTACATGTACAGTACGTAAAAAGGTTATGTGTGCAGTACACAATATAGTCAGTGAATAAAACGTACCACCACATAATCACACCGCAGGACCTTGACCCTGTCTGAATTTGGTTGTCTTCTTCTTTGTGCATGTCCTATCACTCCTCCAGGTCTTCCTCTACCTCTTCCTCTGACACTGTCCATTTTGAAGACAGATGAACTTACCTTTTGCCTTTTTATAGTACTTAAACCTGATTGGTGTGTCTACAGTTAAGCACCAGTGTGTGTGCACACCTGGTGGCTGTGTTTAACCAATTGGTTCATGTGTGTGTTTATTTGAAAGCCTTTGCTTTAAAATTGCAAGGAAATTCAATCATGATAAATTTCTGTATCAAATGCATACAAGTGTGTTTAGTGTTTTGCAAATCACTGTGTGTAATGTTTTGCAAAAAGTGTGAAGCTGACAATGTGCTTACAGTTGTGCAAATCTAGGCCGGTGTTTTGCTCCTTGAGTGTAAGGTTTCGCGTATTGTGGGAAAGTTCTAATTTTAGTGTGTAAGCAATCGAAAAAAAACTGTAAGTAAAATGATAATAAAATAAAACAATTAGTCAATAAATTTAGGAACATGACATTGAGATGGAATACTTAATAAATTAAAGGGATAGTTCACCCAAAAATGAAAATTCTGTCAGTATTTACTCACCCTCATGTTGTTCCAAACCTCTGTGTTTATTTGTTCTGCTGAACACAAAGGAAGATATTTGGAAGAATGTTTTAATCAAACAGATCTCAATCCCCATTGACTTCCACAGTAGGAAAAATACATACTGGTAGTCAATGGGGAACGATATCTGTTTGATTAAAAGATTCCTCCAAATATCTTCCTTTGTAATCAGCAGAACAAATAAACACAGAGGTTTGGAACAACATGAGGGTGAGTAAATACTGGCAGAATTTTCATTTTTGGGTGAACTAACCCTTTAAGTACCTTTCTTCTTGAACATCTTGTCTGCTCTCATCAGATGCTTCCGAGTCACTGTCGATTATTATTGGGGCATAGAGACGCGTGTAATTGCTGTAAAAAGACAGATTAACAAGAATTTACATTAAAGCAAACCATTTATTTTTTTAAACTCTTTTTGAGATAATACAAGTGGCTTACCTGTAGCACTTTTGTTGGACATGTGTGTGTTCTTGTGCTTCCTAGATTTGTCAGAAATATAACAATTATTAAAATAACATTATAACTTACCATTATAAAGACCGAATCAATTTTTTCATTCGTTGTAACAAAGTAACTTTGCAAGGTATGAACAATTATGAACTTGGTCCAAAAAAGGCAGAGAGAGATCAGGGGGTCTGAAAAACAACTACTGTGAATTAATTTGAACAACTCCACTCCTAACCACTAAATGTCCTGTTAACTATGCTAATACCTGTTTGATGTGCTTCCTGCATTTGATGTGCTTCCTGCATTTGGTGTGATTCCTGCATTTGGTGTGCTTGCTTCATCTGGAAAATCCCATATCTGTAAAGAAATAAACAAGCCACTTGTTACAAAGAGTTACAATGGTAACACTTTACAATAAGGTTCATTAGTTAACATTATTTAACTACATTAGTTAACAATATGTGAACAATACTTCTTCAGCATTTATTAATCTTAGTTAATATTAATTCCAACATTTACTAATACGTTATTAAAATCAAAGGTTGTATTAGTTAACATTAGTTAATGGACTGTGAACTAACATGAACGCACAATGAACAGCTGTATTTGTATTAACTAACATTAACAAAGATTAATAAACACTGTAACTAATGCATTGCTGATCGCTAGTTCATGTTAGTTAATACATTTACTAATGTTAACTAATGAACCTTATTGTAAAGTGTTACCGTTACAATTAAATGTTATATTTATTTAACATGCAGTTAAATGCACCCACCAAAGTGTCACTCTCAATATGGACTGTGAGAGGTAGACTTTACTTGCACTTCACTGTCTTCACTAGAAGAATCCCCAGAGCAGTCTTCAAACAACAATGAAAGTAATAAATTCACTTTGATTTAAACCCATTAGTGTAAATAGTGTTGTATATGTCTTTGTAAGATTTTCATTAAATTAAATATGCTTACCATTAGCTAAAAAGTCTTGAAATGTGCATATAAACAGAGTTATTCTTTGATAAGCCTTTCCAATTGCCTCTTTGTACAGGTGTAGTTTGAAAGGGGTGTTTGTTCCTGGAATGTTCTTCACCTCTGAACCATCTGGGTACAGCAATACATAGGGGCCCTCTTCCATATCCTGATTAAAATCTCTTACTTTCTTTTCAGCAGCAATTAAAAGTTGCTCAGATGACCAAATATGTTGAACATCAAGAGGCAGGGTCTTCCCTCTGATAGGCTTTAAAACACCACCATGTCTCCACATAACTCCAACATAAATCTACACATGAAAAGACTAAATAAAAATGTTAAGTGTCACAAACTGAAATTTAAAATTACCTTTAACTTGGGGCATGTGACAATTTTATAAAATATTTATAAAAACTATTTTGTCATGAAACATAAAACTGATAGATTAAAAGATAATCATGTTTTTGAAAATAGTTGACATCTTTTCTCAATTCCACAACTGGGCTGAAATCCATAGGAAACATGTATCATGATTCTATATCCTTTAAAGTAATTATGAAATGGAAGTTGAAATAGTCTTGATCCCTATTGTGGCATATAAAGATACCTTCACTGTTTTTTAATCTTTCTTAGATTCCTGACTTTTCTTAGTAAAGAAGGTTTTCCTCTCCTTCTCCTCCAAAGCCCTGAACTTCATGAAGGAATCCACTGTGCTTCCCAGATAGCAAACTGACATTGAATCAACGTGGAAATATGACATCGAAACAACGTTGATCTGACATTGTTTTGCTCATCGAATTAACGTTGAACCAACGTCAGACGCGTCATTCTTTCAAAACTAACGGAAAATCAACTTGAAATCAACGCATTGTTTCAACGTTATGAAAGCAAACCAATTTTCGATTTTCATTTACCTTTGAAGAATGCCGCGTCTGACGTTGGTTCAACGTTAATTCGATGAGCAAAATCAACGTTGTTTCAATGTCATGAGAGACGTCGTTTCCACGTTGATTCAATGTCAGTTTGCTGTCTGGGTTCTGTCTGATTTCCCTGCTTCAAACACATTGTCATATAAAATTCTCTCAAATTTCACTCGACAGTTCACCAAGCAGATATTGTTGCCTACCTGCACTCGTGCTTGCCTCATTTTCACCAGGAACTTTATTTTTCAGAAATGTTATGTTTTTACCACATGCACTGCAAAACGCAGGACAGTTTTCCATTGTAGCCCCACAAAATGGACAATACATTGTGATCTGCAAAAAGAATTACTAACCTTAGTTTAGGGAAGAAGCAGTCTGTTAGGGCATTCAGACTAAAATAATCTTTTGAAATAAAATGTTGACTCAAAATAATAGTGACTATACTTTTTTCGCAAGTACACAGTAATTATATAATCTTCTACAAATATTGTTTTTAACAACGCTAAAAGTAAACATATATTTTAATATTTACTTGCTTTTACTTACATTCACATTCTTCTTGTCATGTGTCTGTGTGAGTGAAAAGCATCCAGTCCGCCAACGATAACCATAGACAGATGGGCGATTGAGAGCAATTAACCATTTACGGAGACCATCTGCCCCCTGGTGGTCGGGAGCATTTCCGTTGTGTTGTGGCTATTTCGTTGTGTTGTGGATATTTTGTTGTGTTGTGTGAACTTATGTTTGCTTTTTGAATTTCGTTGTGTTGTGCACTACTGGGCCACCGTAGTTCACCCACAAATGGAAATTCTGTCATTAATTACTCACCTTCATGTCGTTCCAAACAAGTGAGACTTTTTCATGTTCACAACACCAACACACATGTTTTTAATGAAATCAGAGAGCTTCCTGTCCCTCCATTGACAATCTACGTAACTACCAATTTCAAGCCCCAGACCAAAATACATCATTATAGTAATCCATGCGACTCCAGTGGTTTAACATAAATGTTTATTACAGTTTTTCTCAATTGCTAAAACACTAAAATCTATTGGCTGAACAAAGTTCTCAATTGCCTGAACTCATTTAGCTAATTGTGGAGTCTGTTGTCAATACCACAAACAATTTCACATGGTACAACACAATTTGCAGATCTCACTTAGACTTTTCAGCAAAACTCTGAACACATTCTCATTCTCAAAACACATTCTGCACTCCAATGCACATGTCATCCATACTGGTAAACACAAGTGGCAACAATCAAATTAAAATAGAGAACAAATGTCATTTGATTGAACACACAAATGTCATTTGATTGTCAGTCGACAAAGTGCTTTTGCCTGACCCAGGCCAAAGACAAGAAGCACATTGATCACGTTTACTCCTTTCATTTGTGTCCCTTTAGATATCGTATACTGTAGTACAGTGCACTGCTGCAGACTGTACAATGAAAAAAATATGAAATTTGTTTTGAGATTTGTTTTGACATATAGTTCTCCCTGAGAACTATATGTTTTGAACAATGTGTTTTAAATTTAAGGTTTAAGGTTTAAGGTTTCAGAAATTGTGTTTTAGCAATTGAGAAAAACTGTAATTTAATTTGACTACTTTAATGACTATATGACTTAAAGTCTTGAAATATTTTTAAAGCATTTCTTTAAATGAATTATGTGAGAACCTTGTTGACTGATGATCAAACTGCATTGGCAAAGAGTCTTTTGGCCTCATGCATTTATTAAATCAAGTGTATACAGTATATTTGATAAACATGGAAATATACTGTATTTCAATAAAAGTATCAATGAATTATTAATTCACTTCAAACTGAAAACTTGCGTGTTACAATTTTACAAGCAACATGTGAACATGCATGTATATATTGTTTTATTTTTGTTAGTTTTTTATTTTATTTTTTATTATTATTATGTGTGAGGACCGAAATACATTTTGTTGATTGATTGATTGATTGATTGAAGGATTTAAATGTATAAAATCTGACGTGAGAGAGCGGTGCGAGGCCAGTGGCATGAGTGAAAACGAACGAAACCGGTGAGACGCACCGGTCTCACATCTCTCACAAAGGAGCGGAAGCATTAAGGGGGAGCAATGACAGTGAAGATCGAGAGAGGAACAGGCCTGATTTTATGTTGTGTTTTGTGTCTGTTTTGTGTGACCAGCAGTCATCCTTGAGGGGCTGCTAGCTTATACTTTCATTTTGTTGTTGATTTGTTTTATTATTAAAGTCTTGAAATGTTTGCCAGTTCCTGTTCTTCCCATAACAACCAAACCCCATTACAGTAATTATAATTCTACAAAACAGCAGGCATTTCAATATTTTTAACTTTTTTACGCAATTATCAGAATAATATAAAACTATCTCTTTTGTGCTTCTCTTCCCATGATGGCTTTTTTAGTGTTCCTTTCTGGATGTAAAATAATGATGTAGCACTTTGGTGCAAATATGGCTACCAGTAAACCAAAACTGGAAGCTAAAATGGCAAATATCTCCACAGCCACTGCGTATTTCCCTGGAGAGCTCACATATGCCGGAATAAATGCAATCCACACAGCACAGAAGATCAACATGCTGAAAGTTATGAACTTTGCTTCATTAAAATTATCTGGAAGATTTCTCGCCAGGAAGGCTAACAGAAAGCTTATTGCGGCCAACAGTCCAATGTATCCCAGCAGAAGAGAAAAACCAGCCACTGAGCCAATAGCACATTCATATACTATTTTAGAGCGAAGATACTGGTTGTTTTTATGGGGTATCGGAGAGGCAGTTGATAGCCAGACTGCACATATTACAACTTGGAGGGCTGTTAGGACCAGAACTGTGCATCTTTGTTGAGCTGCTCCAAACCATTTCATCGCTCCTTTGCCCTCTGGCCGAGATGACTTGAACACAGCTATTACCACCATAGTCTTGACCAGGATGCTGGAGATACACAGGACAAAGCTTATGCCAAACACAGCATGTCTTAACTGACATGTCCATAACTGTGGCTGACCAATGAACAGTAGCACACACAGGAAACACAGTTTGAGTGACAAAAGCAGCAGGAAGCTGAGCTCTGAATTGTTGGCGCGTACTATGGGAGTGTTTCGATGGTGTGCAAAGATGACCATCACAAGAGCGCAGAACCAGGTGCCAAGCAGAGATGCAGTGGTCAGAGAGATACCCAGAGGTTCCTCATAGGACAGAAACTCAACTTCTTTAGGGACACACTGATCCTTATCTGAATTGGACCAAAACTCATCTGGACACATTGTGCACTCAATAGCATCTGTACGTAAGAAAATTAGAGAAGGTAAGGTTATGAGGAAAATATTTTTAAATTATATCTACCAACAAAAATCTCATCACCTGTTGTATTAGAAATCTCTCCATCTCCGCATGGCAGGCAGTCAAAACAGCAGACAGGAAGACCTTTCCTCATTGCTTGTCTGGTCCCTGGCGGGCAGCTCTCACTGCACACAGAATGTGGGGGCTGTCATGGGACAAAATATGTTGTTATTTATGAAGAGTGAATGCTCAGTATACTGTAGTATTTTCATGAGGCATTTGGAAACTACATTGTTCTACAGTATGCCAGAAATGTAAAAATGAATGTAAAATGCTGTAATTATTATTTAAAAATAAAAATACTTTTTTCATTTGAAAATTCCAGTATAATGCATCCTCATCCAGTGTGAGCACCTTCCCTGTAGCTGCCCCTTCATTTACTACACCAACCGTTTGGACTCTTATTGACCCATCAGAGTTTGACTGCCAGTTCAAAACATCATAGATGGCCAGAGCATCTCCATTCTTATCAAATGACACATGATCACCAAAGCCTGTTGTGAAGTTCACTTTCTGTAGGTAGTGAACCAGCTGTAGAGTTAAAAATAACAAATATACATACATGATTGCCACACTTTACTTTTAATTAGTAAAGTTCTGATAAAAATGCTTGATTGACTGTTTTTTTTCTTTCAAATAATATAACATAAATATATCTTCTGTAACTAACAAATACCCATATTATTGTAACAATATCAGATTTATTAAAATATCGGAAAAATATATTAATATAGAGCGCATATTTCATTTTTCCACATGAGCTCTTCTATATGCCTGGAGAGAATCTGCACTATACCTCAGGGTCTTACCTGCCAGGGTTTTAGGTTGATTATGTTGGCACATCTGTTCCCACTAAATGGTCCTCTACCCTCTTGACACTGCATCAGGTCATGAAGT